CTCAGTTTCCCTTCCCATGAGCATATGCACCCTCTGGCAATTAAAAAAAAAAGATACAGAGAATAGAGAAAAATGTAGAAGCTATTGAAGTGAATGTGTTAAACTTACTGAAATGGTTAAAGGCATAGTCTATTTTGGGTCAGCCCCTTAGCCCAGTGGTCAAGGGACGCTTGTGTGGCCAACTATAGTTCAAAACTTAGTCCCAGAATCTTGAAAAACACACTGGACATGTGTACACTGCATACCTAAAATCCCAACAGGACAGAAAAATGGAGGAGACAGGATTATGATGTGGCTACATTCCATTAAGGATGTGCTTTCACCTTCTCCCTCTTTTCTCCTCTTTCTCTGTCTCTCTCTGTTGAGCATATGCACCCTGTGACTTTTTTTTAAAGTTTTTGCTATAAGGCACATGTGCTTGCTGAAGAGAAACAGCAATAGAGAAGGAAAGTGAGAAATCACCCTCCCCTTGTGGGTGGGGGGGATAACCATGCCACAATCCCTTCTCTTCCCTTTTTTTTTGAGAGGTTTTTGCTATAGGGTGAGTGCACTCACCAGAAAGACAGAGACAGAGAGATAGAAAGCAAGAAATCACCCTCCACGGGGTATGGCCTCACCACAATCCCTTCTCCTCCATTCTCCTCTCAGGATTTTGGGCATGGATGCACGCACGCACACTCACCCAGCATGAGTTTAAGCCACCGGGACCGGGACTCGAACTACAGTTGACTACATGGGAGTCCAGCAACAGCCATTATGCCAACTGCTGGTTCCCTTCTCCTCCATTTTCTTCTCTGGGTTTTGGGCACACGTGCACATGAGTTTTTCAAGCCACCGGGTCTGGGTCTTAAACTGCAGAGATAGCCACGTGGGATCCTGCTGCCTTAATCACAACACCACCTGGCTGTCTCCTGACAGTTTAAAACAAATGAATAATAAGGGACCAGCAGTTAGCATAATGGCTATGTCGCTGGTCTCCCATGTAGTCCACCACGGTTCACGTCCCGGACCTGGTGGCTTGAAATTCATACTGGCAGCGTGTGCGTGCATGCCCAAGATCCCAAGAGGAGAATGGAGGAGAAGGGTTTGCGGCGTGGCCATCCCCCCTGGGGGGTGATTTCTCGTTTTCTGTCTCTCTGTCTCTGTCTGTCTAGCAAGCACACACACCGACCTCCCCCCCCCCCCCAAAAAAAAAGAATAAAGGCCTAGATTGTGCAGCTAGACTCTCTGGGTTCAAATCTTGTCCTTCCTACTTACTAAGTATAATTGTGGGTATATTACTTAACTAGGCTGCAATTTACTCATCTAGTGGTAAAACCCTAAAATAAAGATAATAAGAACTCAAAGGGCCAGATGGCAGCACAGTGATAAAAACTTCTGCAAGGCAGATTCATGTGGAAAGTTTCTCTGTTCAAGTACAGAGACCTTACTAAATACACCAGACATACTCTTGCTCATGATCTGATCTGGGTCTGGCTGAAATCTGGGGATGGATTGCAGCATTGACTTTGTTGAAGGTGGATATCTCTCACATACAGATGCACTCATGCAAATAAACTTTTTTTTTTTTTAGTTTTTTTGCTCTAGGGAACATGCACTTGCCTGAGAGAGGCAGAGAGAGGGAAAGAAATAAATTACGCCCCCCACCACCAGGTGGGACAGTCACACTTCAATCCCTTCTCCTCTATGCTCTTCCTGGGATTTGGGCACACAAACACACACATACTAGTTGCAATTTTTAAGCTGCCAAGCGTGGGATTTGAACTGTGGTCAGCTATGTGGAAATCCAGCATCTCAATTACCATGCCACCTGCTTGCGCCAAGAAATAATTTTTAAAAAAAGAAGATAAGGACTCAAGATATTTGTTATTTGTTTTTAAAAAAATATTTATTTAATTACATTTTATATTATTTTATTTGTTATTATCTTTTTAATTTGACCAGACAGAGATAGAAAGAGAAGCGAGAAAGCAAGCCACCAGGTCTGGGACTCGAACTGTTGTCAGTCATGTGGGAATCCAGCGCCTTTAACCACCACGCCATCTGCTGGCCCCATAACTGTTATTTGTTTAGATATGGTGGGTAAGGAAGAGAGGAGAATCAAAGATTCCTAGTTTTCAGACTTGAGCAACTGAGTGAATGTGATATCCTATTTTGAACTAAAAAATAGGGGAATTTGGGGAGAGTGGAGCATGATTAGTTCTTTTTTTTTTAATTTGTTAGAGGGCATGTTCAACCACCAGAGAGAGAAAGTGCAAAAGCAACCCCATGATGGACGCCGGTCATGCCACTATCTCTTCTCCATTTCTCCTTTTTTTATTTTTATTTTTATTTTTTTCCATTTCTCCTTTTAGGATTTGGGGCACGCATACACATGTACCTGGCTTTTTTTTTTTTTTTTTTAGAGGTTTTTGCTATAGGGGCATGAGCTCACCAGAAAGACAGAGAGAGACAGAGAGACAGAAAACGAGAAATCACCCCCCAGGGGGATGGCCATGCCACAATCCTTTCTCCTCCATTCTCCTCTCAGAATCTGGGGCACACACTCACACACACGCCTGGCGTGAGTTTAAGCCGCCAGGTCTGGGACTCGAACTGTAGTTGACTACATGGGAGTCCACCCACATAGCCCTTACACCAACTGCTGGTCCCCCTGGCATGATTTTTAAGACTCAGGATCTAAGACGTGAACTGTACAGTCAGCCATGTGGCATTTAGCACCCTTAACTACCACACTACTGTCTGGCCTCATAAGTTTATTTTTTGGAAAGACTGCACTGAAGGTTCTTGTGAGGCATCCATAGAGGCTGTGTTAGACTTTATATCTCAGGTAGAATAGCTAGGCAGCAGTGTGGATCTGGGAAGATCCACATCATCAGGAAGCCTTTGGTAACTGAAACCACAGGTGAGACTGAGTGAGATCACCCAGGAAGTACCCATAAAATGAGAAGCCTCAGGACCAGCAGGTGGTATGGTGTTTAAGACACTGGACACTCGCACATGGCCAACCATGGTTCAAGTCCTGGGCCTAGTGGCTTGCTTTCTCGCACTCTCTTTCTCTGTGTCTCTCTCTGGTCAAATTTAAAATAAATGAATGAATAAATAAAAATAAACAATTTTTAAAAAAAAAATGAGAAGCCTCAGAACAGACCACTGCATGGTAGGCTATAGCTAGAACTCCAGAGAGTTGAACCATTATTGTCTGCCTCCAAAGCCCATGCTCCTGCTACACCTCAAGCTGCTTCTGTAAACTTTTTTGAACTCTTATGTAAGTCAATAAAATTTATTTAGTCAGGTCAGCCTCGGTATGGTGGCTAAAGTGGTTGGACCCCACATGTCCAACTGTGTGGTTCAAGTCCTGGGCCCATTGGCTTGAAAGACACACCAGATGCACACACCTGCATGTGTGCACGCATACCTAAAACCCAAGAGAATGGAGGAGTGGGGACTGCAGCATGGCCATCCTCCCAGGAGGTGATCTATCACTCTTCCTCCCTCTTTCTTTCTCTCTCTGGTGAGTTTATGTACCCTATAGCAAACTAAAAAGGAAAGACAGACACGCCTAGTATTTGTGCTTGTATGCCTAAAATCCCAAGAGGAGAATGGAGAAGAGATCATGACATGGCTATCTTCCCTGAGGTGTGCTCTCTCACTTACCTACTATCTCTTTCTCTGGAAAACACACACACCTTACAGTAAAGATTACAAAAGGAAAAAATTATTCAGAGTATTTGATCCTCTACTTTGTGTCAGCATTGAATATACCTCAGTGAGCAAGATAGATATGATCCCTGTCCTCAAAGCTTAGTCTAATGAAGTAGCTGGACAATACAGATTGGTAAGTGCTATGATAGATAGAGTACTTCTGTGCCCAAGAGCACCTAACCCAGACTTTTGGTGGGGTGGAAGAAGGCTTTCTCTTTTTTTTTTACTTTTCTTTTTATTTATTTATTTTTTTTAATAGAGATTTTTGCTGTAGGGTGCATGTACTCACCAGAGACAAAAAGTGAGAAATCATCCCTCCAGGGGGTATGGCCACATCACACTCCCTTCTCCTTTTAGGATTTTGGGTATGTATACATATGCACCTGGCATGAGTTTTAAGCTGCTGAGTTTAGGACTCGAACCACAGTTGACTACATGGGAGTCCAGCGATGTACCCATTATGCCATCTGCTAGTCCCTATTTATTTATTTTAAAATATTTTTGCCATAGGTCAATGCACTTACCCAGAGACAGAGAGGGAAAGTGAAAAATCACCCTCCAGGGTGATGGCCATACCACAATCCCTTTTTCCTCTTCCTCTCAGAATTTTGGGCACACATGCCCACATACCCAGCATGATTTTCAAGACTCCAGCTGGGACTTAAACTGCAATTGGCCATGTGGGAATCATCTTAACCACCATGCCACTTCCTGGCTCCACTCCAAAAAAATTTTCTATAGATATTTTGCTGTAGGGTATGTGCGCTCACCAGACAGCGAAAGACAGAGAGACAGAAAGCGAGTAATCACCCCCCCAGGAGGGATGGCCATGTCACACTTCTCCATTCTTCTGTCGGGATTTTGGGCACGCACACACATGCACCCAGTGTTAGTTTCAAGCTGTCAAGTCCAGGACTCAAACCACAGAAGACCATGTGGGAGTCCAGTGCCTTAACCACTACACCACCTGCTGGCCCCTCCAACAATTTTAATAAAAGGTGATGGCAGAAGGTTCCAGGCAGGCAGAAGAAACCAATTCCTTTTAATTTTTATTTATCATGATTATTTTAAAATTTGACCAGAGAGAGGGAAAGTGAGAAAGCAAGCCACCAGGTCTGGGACTTGAACTGCAGTTGGTCATGTAGGAGTCCAGCACCTTAACCACCATGCCTCCGGCCTGCCCCTTCTCCTTTTTCTTGAAGTTGCATGGAGGAAAAATAAAAAGGGCAGCAACGTCTATGCTTAGCCCATGAATATACCAGTCTACATGAAATAACATTTGAATTTCCCTCCAGGTGAGGCAGTCCCAGCACACTGCTGCATCCTGTCAGCCTGTAGTCCTTTCTTCACAGAGCGCCTGGAGCGGGAGAGGCCAGCCCAGGGCCGGAAGGTGGTGCTGGAGCTAGGGGGCCTGAAGATCAGGACACTTAGGAAGCTGGTAGACTTCCTATACACCTCAGAGATGGAAGTATCTCGAGAAGAAGCCCAGGATGTGCTTTCTGCTGCCCGTCAGCTCCGTGTTTCTGAGCTAGAATCTCTTCAGCTAGAGGGAGGAAAGTTGGTAAAGGCCCCACAGGGCCGAAGACTGAACCGAGAATGCCTACAGCCACCAAGTCCTGCACCAATCTCTGCCAGAGTGGTAGCACCCAGCCGCCGCCCTCGAACTCCACTGCCTGTTACTCCAACTCCCTGTCCTCTTGGAGCAGTAAGACTGAAGTCCTCGGGGAATGAAGAGAGATCTCAGGAGAGAAGCAACCGACAGAATGCAGAGGCCTTGTCTGGCACTCTTTTGCTGAAGAGAAAGGCCAGAGCCTACCCAATGCCACATGAAAAAAGCTCTTCACCATCAAGCCACAGTCAGGGGTATAAGGAAAACAAAAATGACTCTACCCTTGGCTCTGCAGCACTTTCTCCACCTAGCTCCTACCCCTCCGTGGATGAGCGACTATTGCCCAGAAAGATCAGGCTAAGTCGCTCAAAGCCATCTCCTGATGTCTGTATCTCAAAGCCTTCCAGCATTTTAAGTGGACCCAGCTCAGTGCCCACAGCCCCTGGCCGACGTCTTTGGCGGCAGAAAAGTGTAAGTAAAGCAGCACCAGAGGACAAGCAGAAACCAGGAACCAGTCCTTTACAAAGCACCCCAAGTCCATCTGGTCTTGGAAAGACAGGTGGGAGCAAGAAGCGGAGTCCTGAAGTCAGGGGACCCCACTCTGACTCTGTAGAGGAGGGGCAGGTTGGGAGAGTGAAACTTCGTAAGATTGTCAATGGGACCTGCTGGGAGGTGGTACAAGAGCCTCCTCTCAGAAACTCTCAAGATAGCTTTCAGCTCCCAGAAGCTAGAAGAGACTTAAAAGAGCCTCCAGAGACTCATCTATCCTCAGTTAATGAGCAGGAAATGTCAACTGCTAGAACAGAACCATGTCAGGACTTCCCCGGGTGTTCTAGGCTACAAGACATACTGCTCTCTGCCAGCCACTCTCCAGATCACCCAGTGATGAAGTCCAAGTTTGGGTCCAGTCCAGAACTGGTAGGGAAGGAACCTGTGCTGGACATTGACTGCAGAGAGCCCTATACATTTGACACAGCACTGCTTGGGCAGCCCTGTGAGGCTGAGGAATACCGAATCACAAGTGCTGCTGCAACTAGTGAGCTAGAGGAAATCCTGGACTTCATGCTCTGTGGCTCAGACATCGAGCCCCCCATAGGATCTCTAGAGAGTCCAGAGGCTGAGGGCTGCACAACTCCTAATTATCACCTGACAGAAACAGGAAAGGACTGGATTGAAGGGGAAGAATGGTGTTTGCCAGATATGGAACTCTGGCCCAAGGAGCTCACAGGATCAGACAAGGAACCTGTTAGTGAAAACAAAGAACCAGTTGAACCTCTTAGCCCCCTTGTCATGCCCTCTGACATGAGTGAAGAAGTGCTTTCAGCGGGAGGCTCTTGGACTCCAAGCCTCGAAATTACCAACTCCCAGCCACTGGATGGTCAGGGAGACAATCTTCTCCATGTTGATCCCCTTGATTCTCCTCAAAGGTCTTATGGTGGCCTCTCACCTCCCTGCTCAAACTGGGAGAGTGGACTAGAAGTATCCTTAACTATGGATCAAGTATTGTACCCTGTTTCAGAGACAGACAAGGAGGTATCTGATAACTCTAAGCAGCGGAGCCCATTTCTTGCCAGCTCTGAAGAGGAAGAGATTGATGTTGGGGACTGGACAGTAGAGGGGAAGCCGGTACTCACAAATATTCCATCTGTACGACCTGATCCTTCCTCAGAATCAGATACAGAGGTAGATATACTAACATAGTGGAGTGGGGAGGGCAGTTTGGGGCTCTGGGAGGGTGAAGAGTGTTGCCTAGCAAGTTTATTAGCAGAGAAAACTAGTATATGCTCTCCCCTCTTAGGAAGAGGCATTGTACCCCTAGCTTTTTATAGATTCCCCTCTTCCTTTTCCCAGGCCTTGGAAGCCAGGCAGAAGTCAAGTAGTACTATTGGTGGAAAATTATGAATGTGAGCTATCTTATTTTTTTGTAATCTATTTTCCAGATAGCAATAAGTGAAACAATAAACAGTGTGGTCCCCAATTCCAGTCTTAGGTAACAGCCAAGGCCAAGGTCTTTCAGGTCATAGCAGTTGTGAGAAAGAATGTCTGTGGTGGGGTTGTGTTGGAGAAAATGTTCCAGATGACACTGTCAAGCAGCAATGGGCAGAGCACTAAGTGAATGGAAGCAATGGCACACTGTCCAGCGCCTAAAGGGTGAGGGTTGTTCTTATTAATTTACTAGTCTAAAAAGTATAAAATTCCACAGGGGCCAGAAAGATATACTTCTAGCATTGTGTCTAAAAAGTGAACTGAAGATACAGCTGGTTAAAAAAAAAAGTATTTACTCAGAAACTAAGCAGAGTCAGGCCTGGTTAGTACTTGGATGGGAGACCTGTGGGAATACTAGGTGCTGTAGGCTTTAAAAAAGAAAGGAAAAGAAAGTATTTACCTTGTTCTCTTAGTTTTACAAGTATTTCGCATGCTTTACCAGAAACCCTAGGTGTTCCAGGCCAGATGACGACCTTGCATGATGACAAATACAAGGACCACCAACTCCAAAAGGCTGGCTTTGTCCATACCTTAATATAAGATTAAGTTTTATTTTATTACTCAAATACTTTTTTTCAACTTTTATTAAAACAAACCAAATCCAGTAACTTCCAATGCCTTACTAAAGGGTTGCCTCACAACCAAACCATTTCTGGAGGGGAAGAAACCTTGGCTTCAGGCACATGACTGAAGTTTGGCCATGTCCCATCATAAATGTCCCTTCAACATCACCAGGAAAAGCTGCAAAAATGAGAAAGGAAAGATTATTAGGCAAGGCATTCAGTCTAACATAAAGATCAAGGAAGTCACACCCATTCCCCCCATCTCACAAATCCACTGGTTCACGGATTGCACTCTTCCCCCAGATACGGTCAAGGTCAAATCCTGTGACTAGGAGTGACTTACTGTAGTATGGTGTTATTACATGGCACTACTAACACTGAGAATACACAAGAAACCCTCACCTCCCAAAAAGGAACAGTATAGGGGTAAATATACAAAAGGAACAAAGAGTTTTGCCAGTAAGGGGGGAAAAACACTCATATGAATGTAAAACCATGTCAAGTTTTCCAGTAACTTCCAATGCCTTACTAAAGGGTTGCCTCACAACCAAACCATTTCTGGAGGGGAAGAAACCTTGGCTTCAGGCACATGACTGAAGTTTGGCCATGTCCCATCATAAATGTCCCTTCAACATCACCAGGAAAAGCTGCAAAAATGAGAAAGGAAAGATTATTAGGCAAGGCATTCAGCCTAACATAAAGATCAAGGAAGTCACACCCATTCCCCCCATCTCACAAATCCACTGGTTCACGGATTGCACTCTTCCCCCAGATACGGTCAAGGTCAAATCCTGTGACTAGGAGTGACTTACTGTAGTATGGTGTTATTACATGGCACTACTAACACTGAGAATACACAAGAAACCCTCACCTCCCAAAAAGGAACAGTATAGGGGTAAATATACAAAAGGAACAAAGAGTTTTGCCAGTAAGGGGGGAAAAACACTCATATGAATGTAAAACCATGTCAAGTTTTATTAAACTCAACCTCCATCTCAAAGGACACAAACCGTACTTCTGTAAGATTCATTTACATCACTAACATAACTTAGGTCAAAGACAATGAAATGAAAGAGATAAGTTAGCAAAGGTCATACTCCGTAGGAAAACACTTTTTCCCCACAGATCCTGCCTGACAAGAGTTCTAACATTGTGGGATGCTTTGCAAGTAGCCACACCGATGATTCCCGCCCTTCCTCAATACCCCTCTCCCCATGCTCTCCCATTTCAAACCTCAGCATGAGGAATGGTTCAAACCGCCTTAGGACAGGTACTTTTTCAACTCTTCCACCACCTCTTGAGGCTCAGGGAATTTTAATTTGCGTGGAGGTCCCTTTTTAATTCCTGTCCAGAGCTCCACACCTGGGAAAGAACCAAGTAAAGCAAAATTACTTGGAGATCCAGAAGCATTTCTCCAAAATCATCAGAGGGCCGCGGTTTCCGAGTCTAGCGCTTCCTCGCTTCAGGGCCCATGCCCCTCTTCCCCTAAGACCCAGGCCTCTACTTACTGCTGCCATCCGGGCGCAGCAGCGTCACCTCGAAGCTGCCTCTCCGAGGCTTGGCAGAATTCACCTTCACTGGAAGCTCTGGAGCCTCCAGGCGCAGCGCCTGGCTCAGGGCCGCGGCGTTGCGCCCATAGACGCGTCAGCTAGTGCTAGGGAGACAAGGGTGTTAGGAACTGGGACCCTTGGTCTGCGATGCCGCTGTCCCTGCACCCCCGGGACCCCAGTGACTCTCCAGTCCCCTCACCAGTGCTCGATAACCATGCTGGCCTCTTTCACTCCCTCCCCGCCGTTCTGCAGCTTCTCCTGCTTCTCCGCTGTCGCCACCACCGCGGCCTCGGCTTTCCGCTTTCTCCCGCGGGGAGCCATGGCGCTCAGAACCCGGGCCTAAGAGAGCCTCCCTGGGCGTTAGGGGGTGGAGACACGACCACCTCGGCGGGAAACGCGCCACAAACGGTCCCCCGACAAACTACAAACCACAGCCTAGGAACTCAGCTTCTAGAACGAAACCGCTCCCCAAGGATCAAAAAGCGTGGTTTCTGCGGCCCACGTGGTCGGAAGGAGGGCCTTTAGGCAAAACCATTTCGCCTCGGAGGTCGGGGGAGGAAGGAGCACCGGGCTAAATCATCTGGCGTTTGGGGGCCTGGGGGCGGGGACGCAGGAAGTTGGACACTGCTGGGGGAGGAGACTAGATCGGTCTGACCAGGCCCGCTTCACACACAAGCTGCTCTGGGCCTGTAAATTGTACTAAATCCTGTGCGTTACAACTCTTCCCCAAACCTACCTTCCTCCCTGGAGTCCATGAACAAACCCCAAACTCAGTCCACGCTCTGTGCAGTTCGTCCTCTGGCATACAAGCTAGACCTCCCCAATGTTCCCCCAATCCTGGGAGACTGGCTAGCATTACAGTTTTGTTTTTTGTTTTTTTTTCTTTTTTAAAGCTTTTTTTGCCATAGGGCGCATCCACTAGCCAGAGAGCAAATAAGAGAAAAAGTAAGAAATCCCCCCTGGGGGATAGCCACGTTGCAATCCCTTCATTCACCTGAGATCTTGGGCATGTCCAGACATGTGATTTTCTTTTACTTTTCTTTTTATTTTTTTTAAATAGAGATATTTTTGGTATAGGATGCATGCACTTGCCTGAAAGATAGAAATTGAGAAATACCCTCCCCACGGGGGATGGCCACTCCACAGCCCCTTCTCTATTCTCCTCTCAGGATTTTGGGCACACATGCACACATCCCCAGCATGAGGGTTTTTGTTTTTTGTTTTTTGGGGGGGTAGTTTTTTTGCTATAGGGCTCAGTGGCTCACCAGAATGACAGAGACAGACAGAAAGAATCACCCCCCAGGGGCGTTGGCCATGCTGCAATCCCATCTCCTCCATTCTTCTCTTGGGATCTTAGGCAGGCATGCATGCTCACGTGCCCAGCATGAGTTTAAGCCACCAGGTCCAGGACTCAAACCTGCGGTCGGCTATATGGGAGTCCAGCAACATAGCCATTACACCAGCACGAGCTTTAAGCCACTGGGTCCAGGACTCAAACCCAGGTCAACTGTGTGCGAGTCCATCGACAACCATTTTGCCATCTGCTGGTACCCCCCCACCCTCTGCATGTGATTTTCAAGCCACTGGGTCTGAGACTCAAACCACAGTCAGCCAGGATCGAGTCCAGAGCCTTAACCACCATGCCACCTGCTGCACCACCACCACCACCGGCTTTAATACAAGAGCAACACACAAAGCCGAAATCAAAAGGAAACCCCAGTTTCTTTATTATGGAAAAACCACCAACTGGGTGTGGGAAGTAGGTAGACAGGTTAGTGAAACCCCAATCCAGTCCAGGGGTTTTTTCCAGGTCTTACCACACAAAGGAATGTCTCAAACATCTCTTCCCCTTCTCTATCCCTATAAAGTAGGTTTACTCAATACTATCTTTAATGATGACAACTTTGTGGTTAAAGGCTTCCCCTTGGAACCAAAGGCAAAGTTAGGCTTACACTTCTTATAAAGGCCATAAACCAAGCCAGAAGGGCCTAAGGAAGCAAAGGCCTTGAGAGAAAAATTCTTAGTGCTCTATACCCTGGCATTTTGTTACTAGTTTAATCTAGTCTAACCAGGCTATACAGGATCACTAAGAGGAGTAATGACACCGCAGGGTGGTGGAGACATCCATGTGGTGAACAACAGTTAACACACTGACGCAAGCTTGGAAGGAAACCCTTCCTCCTCCATCATGAGCTCTCTCCCTTCCACCAGTGAAATGGGTAGCCGTAACAGGATAGGCTTTTCTGTGGGGTGTCTCACAGTTCCCTGGGTGCCTCTTTAATAGAAGCAGCACCCTTACCCACTCAAGCACAGCCAAACAGGGAAAACATAAATTAAAGGCTGCAGCCTTGGGCCAGCTGGTAGGTAGAGAGGGAGCAGGGTCTCAGAGGTGCCTGGAATTGACAGAAAGGAAGCATTGAGGCAGGACTCTCATTTGTCCTTCTTGCTTTCCCCATCTGGCACTGTGGTGGGGGCTGGGGCTACAGGCTGCTCCTCAGGGATACTGTCTCCAGCCTTTGAAAACTTCTTAGCCCGTTGGTACAGCTCATTCAGGTTGAATTCACGGATTACATTCTCCTGTGCAAAAGAGATACACATGTCATGATTTGGAAGGGAGCACTTGGAACCTGGGAAATATTTAGATATTCTAGGGAAAAAGGAAGGAAGCAAAGGACAGTCTGCCCTAACTTGACTTTTCTTTTTTTCAGTAACCAGAAAAGCCACTTAACTAATATTTTTAAGGTTTTAGCTATAGGATACATACACTCTCCAGAAATCCCCTCCCCAAGTGGGGATTGCCACACTGAAATCCCTTCTCCTCCTGGGCTTTTGGCCATGCGCGTGCACACACCCAGCATTGAGTTTCAAGCCTCCAGGTCCAACTGCAGTAGGTCATGTGGTTGGCCATGGGAGTACAGCACCTTAACCACTATGCCACCTGCTGGCCCCACTTAACTAATATTTAAGTACTGATTTTGTGCCATTTACTGTGCCAAGAATTATACCTACATTATATAATATAATCTTCAAAATAATCCTATGATCCAAGTGATACTGTCTGAAACTTATTAATAAAGAAACCTAATGCCCAAAGACTACATGTACAAGGGCCTTAAAGACTGAATCTGGGGCCAGCAGGTGGTGTGGTGGTTGGGGATGCTGGATTCCCACATGGCCAACTGCAGTTCGAGTCCCAGACCTGGCAGAAGCTTAGTTTCTTGCTTTCTCTCTCTCTCTCGCCAAATTAAAATAAATAAAGTTAAATAACATAATTCTTAAAATTTTAAATAAAAAAAGAGACTAAGTCTCAATAACTGTTCAGATCTGGCACATAATATAAATCTGCTGAGTGAAATAAATGAGATCTTGTAATGAGTCCATACCCTCAAAACTAGTGGGTAACTGAAAGAGCTGGGAATCAAATCCATGACAGACTCCAAAGCCCATCAACTGTTCTATGCCCTTCTCCAAAGCACTTGCCCATCCTTTCAGGTACCTCTGAGAAGGTCCAAGAAACAGCTCGTCCTTTCTTGTCAATCTGTGGCCGCCGCATAACTTCCTTGCCACCTTGGAACAGGATCAGGGTGGGGAGTTGCTTGGTGAGGGGCGACGTGCTCACTTTGTACCTATAGGGCCCAGAAAGGACTCTGTAAATGCACCTGTATACATCACTCAGTGTAGGATCCTCAATGTGATTCCCTGCTCACACTCTCTGCTCAGGTGTTTACATACCTGGTACTAACATCAGTGTAGCGGCCAACATCCACCTTCCCAAAATTTAGCCCTGTACAGTTGTACCTAAGGAGAATATATTATTAAACACAATGAAAAAAACAAAGATTGGATCAGAGAACTGGAAGTTTAAATATATTGGGGAAGGGGGGAACAAGTCTTTGAACACAATGTGCAAAAATCAAGGCCAAAAAATAAGAGGGGGAAGGAAGTACAGCATCTCAATTTCCATCATCCCTTCCTTTGCACCACTCACTTGAGGGAGAGGTCAGCATAGATAGGCGCAAATGATTGGCAGTCATTGGACCAATTGGCAAAGAACTCCACAATCCAAGTGACCCTCTTGTCTCGCTCCAGTTCCTCCTGCCACACACACAGAAGAAACAATAAGCTGGGTTACACAGGCTTCTGGATGGTTCAGATCTTAGCATTTTAATTCTTCATCCTGGCTTCCCTTTTCCCCTGGTTCCCACAATGAGCCACAGTGTCCTAGACTTGCAATTTTTAAAAATGATTGTGATTTTACTTAATAGTTTATTTATATTTGATCAGAGAGGAACAGAGTGAGAGAGGTAGAGAGAGGGAAAGTGAGAAAGCAGTGAGAAAGCAGGCCAGGTATGGGACTCAAACCACAGTCAGTCATGTGGGAGTCTAGCACCTTAACCACCATGCTACCTGCCGGCCACTGGACTTGTATTTTGAACAACTGCTGCTGCTTTTTGTAATGAGTAGACAGTACAACTACAAATCACCCACCAGGGACCCAAGAAACAGAATAGAGAAAGAGCACTCACATCAATGGTTTTATCATTGAAGTACTTGATGTACTCAGGGCCCATATACAAGGGGGGCTTGCACGTCATCAGGAACACTAAACACAGAAAGATGTCAGAGGAAACATATATAAGGCCTTGTGCAGGGGATTTACTTACAACCTCACCCTTATGATTTCAACGATCAAAGAATACACACTTGTGGGGCCAATCCCATAGCCTAGTGATTAAGGAAGCCAGATCCACACGCCTGACTGAGGTCTGAATCCCGGCCCTGGTGGCTTGAAAAACACACCAGGTACGTGTGCGTGTGTGACCAAAACCCCAACAAGATGGAAAAACAGAGAAGGGGCTGTAGAATACTATGCCCTACTGGGAGATGCTCTCTTCCTTTCCCCCTCTTTCTGGAAAGTGCATGTACCCTCTAGCAGAGAAAGAAGGGAAGAAAAAAGAGAAAAAAGAAAAGCAAAATATTCATGGACATAAGTAAACCATCAACATATTCTCTTCTGCTTAAAACACTCTCTATATGTTTTTATTTTTTTTAAGAATTATTTTATTTAACTTTATTTATTTATTTATTGAAATTTGATGAGAGAGAGAAAGTGAGAAAGCAAGCCGTGAGGTCTGGAACTTGAACTGTGGTCGGCCATGTGGGAGTCCAGTGCCCTTAACCACCACACCATCTGCTGGCCCCATATTCTTTTTCTTATTCTAGTTTTAAAAATTTGCACAGAAACATGTGCACTCATGGGGCGGGGGATAGAGAGAGAACGTTTCAGAACCTTCTGACATCCCCAGTGGAGATGACCATGCTGCAGTCTCTTCTCTTACATTCTCCTCTTGAGATTATGGGTGCACACACATATGTACATGCCTGGTGTGCTCCCCAGGACACTGGGTCTGGGTCTCAAACTGCACACCCAACATGTGGGATCCACCTGCCTTAACCACCATGCCACCAGCAGGCCCTCTGGTTTTTATTTTGGGGGGAGGCTTTTTGCTATAGGGCACCTGCGCTCACCAGTCAGACAGAGACAGAGAGACAGAAAGTGAGAAACCACCCCCCCCCCAGGGGAGATGACCACACTGCAATCGTTTCTCCTCCATTCTCCTCTCGGGATCTTGGGCACGCACGCACACGCGCCCAGCATGAGTTTAAGCCACCAGGTCCAGGACTCAAACTGTGGTTGACTACGTGAAAGTCCAGTGACAAAGCCATTACGCCAACTGCTGGTCCCTCTTCCGCCAACTGTGGGCCCCCCCCTAGTTTTTTTTTTTTTTTTTTTAAGTTTATTCATTTATTTCTTCCATGAGAGTCAAGACAGACAGCAGGACAGCACCCTCAACGGGGTGTTAATGCTGCGATCCACCCTGACTCAGCCAGCTTGGATCAAAGGCACATAAGCAGCACCCAGTGTACTGAGGAAGTTCAAGGGATGTGAACTCAGAACTTTTCTCATGGAGGTCCAGTTGTGTTACTGTGGCACCACCAGAGAACCCTAGTCTCTGTAGACCATCATCATCTTGAGCTATACACATAATTAACTAAGTAAAAGATATAGAAGAGTGTAGAGAAACCTATTTGGGATTAGAATTTGATTCCCACAATCTAGTCTTTATCACACAGTCTTGCAAAGAACTTAAAAAAAAAAAGACAGTCTCCTCACCTATGCAGAGTGTAATATAAAGCAGGCCCATGCGAATATCCAGACGGAAGAAAAGAATTGCGTTGGCCACTTTGCTAAACATGAAGATGTTGCCTATATGTTGCTCCACAGTGACTGAAACACAGAGATGTCACAGGTCAGGCTAGGCTGCTTGCTCCTATATCCCAGTCTCTGTCCCTTTTGCTAGTGTACTGGGGAGGCAGGTACAAGTCTATGATCAAATTCACTCTTGTCATGAATTGTGGGACTGGTTCACCAAATAATGCTCCCCTCATAACATGAAGAAACATCCCTCTGGGGTACTTCAGTCCTAACCCGACAGACTGAGAAGCAAGATAAACTTACTAGATCTGCGGTTTTTCATCATCACAATGGCGCTGAGAAACATCAGGATCTCCACTTCCCTCTGGAACAGAACCAAAGCGACAGAAATATAATTGAGCTGATTTGGGTGGAAAATGGAACCAAATATGGAATTAAAACCAACAGAGATCCAAACTGGGAATGGTAACAATAAAGATATAACTACAGGACTGGCCCCTAACCTAGAGGTTAAGCCAGCCAGACTCCATCTGGCTGACCACGTGGTTCAAGTCCTAAATCCAGTGGCTTGAGAAACACATTAGAAATCTGTGTTTGTGTATGCCCCAAATCCCACCAGGATGAAGATGAGATCCCAGTGTGACTATTCCCCATGGGAGATGTGCTTCCTCCCTCTCCCTCCCCCTCTGGCAAGCACATGTACCCTCTGGCAAAACATAAAATCATAAATAACAATGGGCCAACCCCATGGCCTGGTGATTACGGGAGCGGGATCCCACACAGCTGACTGTAGTTCAAATTTCAACCCCAGCAGCTCAAGAAACACACTGGACACATGTGCATGTTGATGCAAAATCTCAATAGGAAGGAGAAATGGAGAAAAGCCTGGCATGACCAGGTTTCCCTGAGGGATGCTGCTCTGAGGGATACTTTCTTCCTCCTCCCTCAGTCACTCTCTGGTAAGCACATATGCCCTCTAATGATTAAAAAAAAGAGCAAACAAGATAATTTTAAAGATTATGACTTCAATAAACAGGGGCCATTTGAGAGAAATCATGTAGTGGAGATGGGGACACTGTTCATTGAATAGTTTAAGGCCTTCTACACCCTTTTGCTTATAATACAGGTGGCCAACTTGCTTTCAGACAAAACCAATCATTGTAATTCAGTTAGGAATTGGGGATCTAGCTTTTTAGCCTCAAACTTTAACAAAAACTGATTGGATTTAAATAAAACATACAAAGGAACATGACAGAGCTTGGTCCATACTATATATTGAAAAATTTCAAACAGGCAGAAAAGTAGAGAGAATACTTTAATGAACTATTATTACTCAGCTTTAACAGTAACCAGCATTTTGCCAATACTGTTCTATTTCATCTATGCTACCCACTATTTTTGTGCTGAAGAGCTTAAATCAAAGTCCGAATATATAAATTCATCTGTGAATAATTCAGTTGTTATCTCTCACATATAAGGTTGTGTTGTTTTGTTATTAGTTTTTGCAATGGAGTGGATACACAAGCCAGAGAGAAACAGATTGAGAGATAAAGGTGGGGGAGGGCCGGCAGGTTGTGTGGTGCTTAAAGGCGCTGGATTCCCACATGGCCGACTGTTTGAGTCCTGGACCTGGCAGTTTGCTCTCTTCCTTTCCCTTTCTCTTTGGTCAAATCAAAAAATAACAACAAATGGAATTAAATAAATAAATAAATAAATCCTTTAAAAAAAGAGAGAGGTACCAGCAGATGGTGTAATGGCTACGTTGCTGGATTCCCATGTAGTTGACAGTGGTTAGAGTCCCAGACCTGGTGGCTTAAACTCAGGGCGTGTGAGTGCGTGACTATATCCCCAGGGGGTGATTTCTTGCTTTCTGTCTCTCTGTCTCTCTCTGTCTTTCCAGCGAGCACATGCATCCTATAACAAAAACTTCTTAAAAAAAAAAAAAGAGTGTGAGCGAGCGAGACAGAAAGTGAAAAATTACTTCCTGGGGGGATGGCTACACTGAAATCTCCATTCTACTCTTGGAATTTTGATCGTGCACACATGCACGCACACACACATATACACACTGCATTTTTTTCTTTTTTATTATTTTATTTATTATCATCATTATTAGTTGTTTAATCTGACCAGAGAGAGGCAGTAAGAAAGCAAGCCTCCAGGTCCAGGACTCAAAACGTGGTCAGCCATGTGGAAGTCCAGTGCCTTAACCACCATGCCACCTGCCAGCCCCTATACTGCATATTTTTCATGCCACTTGATCTGGGATTCAAACCATGAAGTCAGCCATGAGGGGATCTACCTGCCTTAACCACCATGCCACCAGCTGGCTGAGACTATAAACACAACCACAGGGCACAGCAAGTGCTGTGGTGGTTAAGGAGCTGGACTCCCACATGATAACCGTGGTTCAAGTACCAGCTTGAAAATCACGCTCAAAATCCTGAGAGAATGAAGGAGAAGGGACTAGAGCACGGCCATCTCCCTTTGGGGGGAGAGGGATAATTCTCACCTTCTCTCTATATATCTCTGTCTCTCTGCTGTGAATACATGGACACTATGGCAAAAGCATAAAAAAATATAAAACTCCACACAACCAAAATACCATGATCACACTGTGAAGCATGAAATATATATATATATATTTTTTTTTTTTTTTTTTGGAGAGATTTTCACTGTAGGGCGCGTGCACTCGCCAGACAGACAGAGAGAGACATAGAGACAGAAAGCGAGAAATCACCCCCCAGGGGGGATGGTCACACCGCAATCCCTTCTCCTCCATTCTCCTCTCGGGATCTTGGGCACGCACGCACACACGCCCGGCGTGAGCTTTTAAGCCACCGGGTCCGGGACACGAACCGCGGTCGACTACGTGGGAGTCCAGCGACATAGCCATTACGCTAACTGCTGGTTCCCATGAAATATATATTTGATCTTCATTTCCTCACACAAAGCTCCTAAAATCCTTCAACTCTCCAGAGTGCTAACAGTGTCATTTTTTGGGTAGTCTACTAAGTCAACTGATGGTTGGCAAACCCAAAGTTATCTTCAGAGGCTGGTCACAAGAAAGATCAAGACATGATTAGAAAATTGAGACTTTTCACCCCAACCCCTAATCTTAGGGGAGAAATGAAGGGCTGTAGGTTAAAGTTGATTACCAATGGCCTACCATTTTATCAAATGCACCTATGAAATGAAGATTGCACAGAAACCCCTGTGTTCAGGGACCTTCTCAATACCCACATGAGTAGAGATGGAGGTCCCTGGAAGATCATGCCCCCAGAGAAGGCACAGAAGCTCTGTGCCCTGTCCCACATAACTTTGACCTATGTATCTCTTCATCTGTGTCCCTTGCAGTATACTTTGTAATAAACTAGTAAACACAATTAAAGTGTTTCTATTAGCCAGTCTAGTAAATGAATCAAATCTGAGGAAGGGGTAATGGAACCTAAATTTGTGGCTGATCAGTCAGAACTACAGGTGACCGACCCAACCCAGTGTCTGTGTTGCAGACACTGAGAGACATTGATATTCTGGAGGATGAGGCCACGTGGAAACTCCAAATTTGATTCCTGGCCCACCATCAAAGCAAAGCATGGTGGTGCATGCCCATAGTACCAACTACTAGAGAGGCTAAGGCAGGATGACTGTGACATATCAAGAGCCTGTATTAAAAAAGAGGCCAGGAGGGACCAGCAGTTAGTGTAATGGCTATGTAGCTGGACTCCCACGTAGTTGACTGCGGTTCAAGTCCTGGACCTGGTGGCTTAAACTCACGTTGGGCACATGTGCGTGCATGCCCAAGATCCCGAGAGGAGAATGGAGGAGAAGGGAGTGTGGCATGGCCATCCCCCCTGGGGGGTGATTTCTCGCTTTCTTTCTCTCTCTGTCTGTCTCTGTCTGTCTGGCAAGCGCATGCAACCTATAGCAAAAACCTCTCCAAAAAAAGAAAAAGAGGCCAGGGTAAAGGGGCAGAGAGAGGGAGAGGATAGATGACAACCTATTACTTTCAATTGGCTTCTAAAGTGAGGGCAGACTCTGTGGGACTACGTGCTCAACTTGTGGGGTCTGAGCTAGCTCTAAGTATGTAGGACATCCAGCTGATATCTGCTACAGAACTGTTTGATTGGTTGTTGACAGGTAGAAATCCCACTTCTTGTAGACCAGAGGTGATGCAAGAGTACAGTAGAAAAAAGTGAATTTTTTTCCTACATAAATACATACCCAATACAAATGACAATTCCTTACTGTTATCTAATACTTGGGTTTTAGTCAAATGATCCCAATTGTCTCAAAAAGTCTTCGTATACTGTTTTTCAAGCCAGGATGGAAGCAAGATTCACATACTACATTTGGCTGACATGTTCTGGTCTTCTTTAATCTTTAATAGACAAGGCAGCAGGTAGTGTGGTGGTTAAAGGCGCTGGATTTACACATGGCTGAAGTGGTTCGGGTCCTGGACCTGGTGACTTGCTTTCATGCTTTCCCTTTCTCTCTTTCTCTGTCTCTGTATGTTCAAAAAAAAAAAAAAAATGATGATGATAATAATAACAACAACAACAACAACAAATGGAAAGACCAGCAGGTGGCGTGGTGGTTAAGACACTGGACACTCCACATGGCCAACGATTCAAGTCCCAGACCTGGTGGCTTGCTTTCTCACTTTCTCTTTCTCTCACTCTCTGGTCAAATTTAAAAAATAAATAAATAAATGAATAAATAATTCTTTTAAAAAGTTTTTAAATAACAAATGGAAATAAATAATTCTTTTTTTATTTTTTTGGAGAGGTTTTCGCTATAGGGCGCGTGCACTCGCCAGAAAGATAGAGTGAGAGAGAGAGAGAGAAAGCAAGAAATCACCCCCCAGGGGTATGGCCACGCCGCAATCCCTTCTCCTCCATTCTCCTCTTGGGATCTTGGGCACGCACGCACACGCGCCCGGCATGAGTTTAGGCCGCCTGGTCCGGGGCGTGAACCGCGGTTAACTACATGGGAGTCCAGCGACATAGCCATTACGCTAACTGCTGGTCCCGAAATAAATAATTCTTTAAAAAAAACTTTATCTTCCTTTTTATCTCAGGCTATTTATCTTTAGGAGACATGGAATCATTTGTACCATCAACTTTCCCAGACTTCTGGATTTGATTACTTCTATACTCATGATATTTATTCTTCTTCTGATAACCCTCTCTCCCCAATACATTGGGAAAAGTCATGACACATTTTTGCATAGAAAAATAGATCAAGATTTTTGCAGTGACCCAATATCTTCTAAGTACGGAGATCTAAAGGTTTGAATACAATGAAATTCAAATCTTTTGACAAAAATATATCATGGATGGGGCCAGTAAGTGGCACGGTGGTCAAAAGCGCTGGACTCCCACATGGCTGACTATGGTCCAAGTCTCGGACTTGGTGGCTTGCTTTCTCATTTCCTCTCTCTCTCTGATCAAACTGGAAAATAATTAATAATAATAAATAACGTTAAATAATTCTTTAAAAAAAGAAAAAAAATGGGTTGTTCTTGGGAATTCCTAGTGCATCACTTTAGGAGATATGTTAGCCTTTTATCTGTCTAGATTTATTATTTCATTAGGGGTTGCTAATAATGACTTTTAAATTATATCATTTTTTTCTATATTTATTAGCTTAAATTATTCTATTAAGAAATCAACACTTACTTGGTTACCATGAAAGACAAAAATTGTTCTTGATTCTTCCTTTTTAGTTAATTTTATAAACTTTTAGTCTCTTAAGCCATTAAAATGTTAAGGTTTACCTTTGCTGCTAAGCTTGCTTACTTTATTCCCTGACTTATCAATCACCAAGGTAAATTAGTAAACCATGAATTTTCCAGGAAAATGAAAAGTGGCTATTAACTCTACATAGTTTTAAAAAATCTACAGAGTAATATAAAAACTTCAGTATTTGGGACTAGCAGTTGGTGTAATGGATATATCTCTGGACTCCCATGTAGTCAACCACGGTTTGAGTCCCGTACCCAGTGGCTTAAATTCATGCCAGGCACATGTGCAGGCGTGCCCAAGATCCCGAGAGGAGAATGGAGGAGAAAGGATCGCAGCATGGCCATCCGCCCTGGGGGTTGATTTCTCGCTTTCTATCTCTGTCTCTTTCTGGTGAGCACATGTGACCTATAGCAAAAACCTCTAAAAAGAAACCTTCAGTATTTTACATATAATTTGACCAGAGTCTACTGAGAAAATGAATTCTATAAAAGGTCCCTTATATTTACTAAATTCCTTATCACTAACTACTTTTCAAGACCCATTTTCATGAAAGTGGTATAAAATATCAGATAAAAATAGAATCCTTTCTGGGGCCGGCAAGTGGCATGGTGGTTAAAGGCGCTGGACTCTGTCATGGCTGACCACGGTTCAAGTCTCGGACCTGGTGGCTTGCTTTCTCACTTCCTCTCTCTTTCTCTGTTTCTCTCTGATCAAACTGGAAAATAATAGTGGTAATAATAATAAATAAAGTTAAATAAAATAATTCTTTAAAAAAATAGAGTTCTTTCAAACAGCACAGTTAAATCTGCTAAGTAATAATAATACTATCTGAGAAAGAACAGAAGAACCAGGGAAGAATAACCAAGGGAAGAAGGAACAAAGTAAGCAACTGGGTTCTGGTCCAGACTCATTGGGAGCGTCTGGAAAAGACAGAAATTCCGGATGACTCCTTTCTCAGAACACAGATATCCCAATAATACAAAGGGAATAGAGTTTAACTCTTTTTTTTTTTTTTGATTGTTCCTTCCATTCCTATTAGAAGCCAAGCAATGGGCTTGCCATAGATTTATTTACAATGCAGTTTTTACACTTCCTGCTCAATAGGTCTCAACATTTTATTCATTTTTGGGGACCAGCAGGTGGTGTGGTGGTTAAGGTGCTGGACATTCCCATATGGCCAACCATGGTTTGAGTCCTGGACCTAGTGGCTTGCTTTCTCACTCTCTCTCTCTCTCTGTGACTCTCTGGTCAAAATAAAATAAGTAAATGAGTAAATAAAATTAAAAATATTTTTAAAAAATTTTTTTATTCATTTTTGTATTATTGGGATCCAGTATGTTGCCCAGCATAGAGTATGCACTATGGAAATGTTCACTGAATTAAACATTAAGAAATGTCTGTTAGACAAAAAACCTAATGAAACGAATCTTGACTACGCACAACATAATGTAACATGTCATGTTAAAGATGGTGAACTGTTTATATCCCTTGATTTGATTAATACACTATACACACTCTTTAGAAATCCATACTGTAACTCACAAAGATGTATAAGGAGTACGTGTAAATCAGAAATTGCAATTTAAAAATAAAAATTTAAAAATACATGGCTGTGGGGCTGGCAGGTGGCATGGTGGTTAAAGGCACTGGACTCACACATAGCCCACCACGGTTCGAGCCCTGGATCTGGTGGCTTGCTTTCTCGCTTTCCCTTCTCTTTCTCTTACTCTGTCCTTCTCTGGTCAAATTTAAATAAATAAATAACAAAGTTAAATAACATAATTATTTTTAAAAATACATGGCTGTTAAGAGTAAGCAGGTACTATGGCCAAAAGAGGAGTTTTAAAGTTTTGGGCATTCGCTAGTGTGAACTCTAGCCTAACCACGCCGAAATCAATTTCGTCATCAATAAAATGGGAATATTACTTGACTGCAGTGACTCCTCATAAGGCTTTACATAATGAGCAGCACTGTAAAACACTGTATATAGGTAGCCTTTCACAGGACTTTTGACGCGTTTGAATGGTGAGATAGAGGCCGGGACTTAAGAATCAGAAGGCTACGAGCTGCTGTGCAGGTGCTAGGACTACTCAGCTCCGTTTGCCCATGTTAAACACGAAGGTTCGAGCTCGATTAGCCCGGGCCCCACGCTGCAAGTCCGCTACAGGATCAGAACCTGCATTATCCTCAGAAAATTGAGGGCGTCCAGATGCACCCGCAAGAACGGAGGGCAGTCAAGGTCGCGGGGTCCTGAGACGAGGGGCGCTCACCCAGTCAAAGTCACAGGGGTTGCCGTCTTCGCGTTGGGTGGGGAGACCGTTACAGAGCGGTGGCAGTTTCCTCACGAGCAGGAAGGCAACAGAAAGCAGGGCAGACAGAAGGTAGTAAGGTCGGGCCAGCCATCGCGAAAGTCGCGGCACCGAATACACTAGAGCAATGAGAGGTGCCAGGACCGCCATCTTTCCGATCCCTGGCGGCCGCAGCTCACCAGCGTTGTCAGGTCTGGTCCCGTTACCCGCACTACTGAGATTCCTTATTGGGCCAAATCTCGGATGCCCCGCCTCTAGACCCGGAAGTGTATCTCGACTGGCCGCCACGGCAGGTAAGAAATGAAAAACAAATTTAATACTTTGTCGTCCATTTAGCTGTCGCTCTCTTCACCTAAGTCATTCTATTGGTCAAGTGACTGTGGCGAGCGTAGATATCGGAGAATTTAATAATGTTAGATAGTACTTCCTGAACGTTCTCGTAGAGCGACGGAAGTAGTTCCCCGGAAAAATAGGCGGGGCCTGGGGCGTCCAATGATAAGTAGCTCCCATAGAAAGAGGGCGGTGTCTCGTGATAGAATTGTCCAATGAAAATCATCAACACCAGACTCGACGACAGCGCCAGGGCGGAGGAGACGATGGAGAATTTCACCGCGCTGTTCGGGGCTCAGGCTGATCCACCGCCGCCCCCGACAGCACTCGGCTTCGGACCCGGAAAGCCTCCACCCCCTCCTCCTCCTCCGCCGGGTGGGGGACCTGGAACAGCCCCACCTCCTACCGTGGCCACTGCTCCTCCCGGCGCTGACAAGTCAGCGGCTGGTTGTGGCCCCTTCTACTTAATGAGGGAATTGCCAGGTGAGTATTAGGCACGGCTGATACTAGCCAATCAGGTCACAGAGAGGAGGTAATGGGCGTTACTATTTGCTTGCTGGTTGAGGTGCGAGGTAACCTAGGCAATGCGTACCGGACTTTAGAGTGTCAAGTCGGAAGGGTTGTGAGCAATACTCGAATTCATGGTATAGACTGGGGGTGGGTGAGTGTGCATCTCAGTGACTGCCTTTCTTGCCATATCTTGATTTGTCCTCTGTCACTAGTACGTACCTCCCTAAAACATGGAGAGCATCTTTGGGGACCTGGTGTTTTAGTTTCAAGTCTCCTACAAATTTGCTGTTGGTTTGGTTTGGAGCAGTTTGTCCTTTTTCAGATTCTAGCCCATTTTCTCATTTGTTCAAAGTAGGAATTAGAATTGAACGAAATTCTTTCATTCAAAAAATTACTTTGTTGGGACCAGCAGTTGGCGTAATGGCTTTGTCGCCTAACACCCATGTAGCTGACCGTGGTTTGAGTCCCAGACCGGGTGGCTTAAACTCACACCCAGCGCGTGTGAGTGGGTGCCCAAGATCCTGAGAGGAGAATGGAGGAGAAGGGATTGCAGTGTGGCCATCCCTCCTGGGAGGTGATTTCTCACTTTCTGTGTCTCTGTCTCTGTCTTTCTGGCGAGCGCACACACGCACTCCCTATAGCAAAAAAAAACTCTCAAAAAAAAATTACTTTGTTGAGCGGACTTGGACCCTGCAGCTTGAAAAACACTCTGGACTCATGTGTGGCTTTCCCCAAATCCTGACAGGACAGAGAAATAGAGAATGGATTGCAGCATGACTGCATCTTATTTAGGGAGGTGTGCTTTGGCCCTCTCTCTCAGTCTCTCTTTGGAGAGTGCAAGCACCGTCTGGCAAATAAAAAAGAATTTACTCTATTGAGCACCAAATGTAACAATAATTATTCTAAATAGTTGTAGATACAGCTGTGAACAAGCCTGACAAGTCTTTTCTTTTTCGTTTTTATCAGTAGAAGAAACAAAGTGTAAAGAAGATAGTTTCAGATCATGATTAATGCTAAGGAGACAAAAACATGATAAAGAATTGTGGGGGCTGGAGGGGGGGGTGAGTAAGCATGAGGATCTAAGTGGCTGACTGACTTACACTGGGAGAATCCAAGTTTAGTCCATAGTCCAGAGACCTGCTTTTGTACAACAGGCATGCCCAAGACAGAGTGAGGGGAGCTGGCAGAAGCTGGAAGTAGATCTGTGTCAAGACCCTGATGGAAGCGCTGTCTCATTCTGTCTCATAGAAGAAAGAAGTGGAAAAAAGTAATCGAGGGAAAGAACTACTTTGGCTAGACTGATCAGAGAACCCCTCTCTGAGTAGATGACATTTGGAAACATTCACATTAAAAGTGAACGTGAACAAAGAGCCAGCCATGTATGGACAGGAGGGGGAAGTAATTTTAAATACAGGAAGGCAGAAACCATAATGTGAGGAAAAGCCTGGAATTCTACAGAATAGAAGTCCCCTTGGACACTAGGAAACAAAGGAAAGAATTGTTGGGGGATTAAGGTGGGAGAAGTAGGCAGAGACCTTTTTTAAAACAATTATTTTATTTCATTTTGTTATCATTATTACTTGTTTAATTTGACCAGAGAGAGAGAAAATGGGAAAGTAGGAAAGCAAGCCTCCAGGTCTAGAACTCAGACCATGGTAGGCTATGTGGGAGTCCAGCAGTCCTGCACCCTTAACCATCACGCCAAGCATGGATTCGAGTCCCAGACTTGGCGGTTTGCTTTCTGACTTTCCCTTTCTCTCTATGGTCAAATTAAAATAATAACAACAAATTACATATGTAAAAAAAGTATGACTGACAAGTATATAGAATTAAATGTGGAAGCATAGGGGTCAGCCAGGTGACACAGTGGTTAAGGCAGCTGAATTCTCATGTGGCTGACTACACAGTTCAAGTCCCAGACTGGTGGCCTTAAAAACATACAGGGCACATGTGCGTGCATGCCCAAAATCCTGAGAGGAGAGTGAAGGAGGATAGTGATGTGGTCATCTTCCCTGAGGGGTGGGCGGTGCTTTCACATTTTCTTTCTCCTCTCTCACTTTCTGTCTCTCTCACTCTCTGAACTTCTCCAGCGAGGGCATGCACCCTATAGCAAATATTTTTTTCTTCTTTTAAGAATTATTTTATTGGGGGACCAGCAGATAGTGTAATGACTATGTCGCTGGACTCCCACTTAGTCGACCGCCGTTCAAGTCCTGG